TCTTTTACATTTTAAAAAATTTATTGTTTTAATATCCAAGTAAATTAAAACATGACAACTTAAAATAAGACAAAGTTTAATAAATTGTTTTTAATTATTAAATTATAAAATTAATTTGCAATAATAATGTTTATAATTTGTACTAATATCTGATGTGGTTGAGAATTATCAATATATATTTGTTTATAAAATTTAATTCATGAATTTTTTTGGTATTAAAATCGACTTCCCATTGATCTTTCGCTGATAATTGATGCTTTTTAACAGAATCTATAGCCTAAGATTTCTCTTGAAAAATTAATTTTGTGATCAGTGCTACCCAAACCACTACTATTTACACCATAGACTTCTATGCATACTTTTTCCCTACGAGTTTTAATAGAATTTGTTGCCAATAAACATCTGAGAACAGCCAGTATGTCGTCATCAGATGCCATGGCCGATTGACTGACTGAGAGAGAATGGCGTAGTGAACATAACTGGCACCCGGGGCACAACACTATATTGGCGCCCCTCCCCTCCAGAAACAAATCTTGTTTGTCTTGGAGACCATTTGGCGCCCCTCTGCAAGTTGTGCCCTGGGCATGTGCCCTACTTGCCCCATCCTAGCTACGCCTCTGCTGAGAGATTTTCTTCTTCGTATGTGGGCGATAGGAAATTCTGAAGTTCCTCTGGTCAGGCAGCCTCAAAGGATTAACTTATCATGTATGGCCGCTTTAAGAAATCAAATTTGGCATGGTGGGTTGCATGTGAGGGACATTGATGCTATTAAAATTTGGTGGTAAAAGGTCAAGAGGGTGGGGAGAGAAGGGGGTCATATATCTTCAGAGGGGTAGGACTAAACAAAGATTTTATTTGTTATTAACATTTACACTTTTTCATAAAACCCTACCCTCAAAATTATGCTTTTTGCCATTTTATAGTAATTAAAAATATCAAAACTTTTTATAACAAAATCTGATACACAGGTGGCACTACACACAATTTTATTTCTTGCTTAATAATATAACAGTTTTGTTTTTAATAAAAACTCATAACAACTGGGAAAGTTATGCAATTTGTTGCTAGATTTTTTTGTGAAGGTTAAGAGATAGAGAACCAAGAAATATGAACAGGAGAAATTCCTCATTTGTAGGTTACAGGAAAATTGCAGCAGGTCTGGGAGTATGCCATTCAAAACAAAATGTTTGAGAATCAGAAATAATCTTTAAATTCAGTGATTTAGTGAAATTTTTTTAAAGGAAAGCATACTGGTTAAAATTTAAAACCAAGCAGAAAGTTACTCAGTAGAGCTATTAAATTATCATCTTGCCAAAAAGTTTTCTAAAATTAACAACAAATCTGTGAATTATGAACAGGTAATATTAAAAAGTGTACTAGATCAAGTAAATACATATATCGTTGCCCTAAAAATATTATCTTTTGTGTCTTTAATAGTGCTATGTCATTGGCTTGGTAAAGCGAAATATGTGATAATTTAAGTTACAAAGAGATTTTAAATTGACATAAAACAGCATTAAAGAGCTTTTAATTCTTTGCAAGCACTTTCAACATTCCTATAAACATCATTTTCAGGTAATAACTCAAATCGAATGTTTTCTCAGAACAAATTTTAAAGTACAGAAACGAAACGACATTAACCAAATGAAACACAAAACTTATAATGCAAAATTTAAAAACAGTTTTTAAAAAGACATCATGGGAAAATCTCGTTTTTACATGTAGACATCACCCGGTCCTGGGGGAGTTTGGTTTTCTCCGTATTCCACAAATTTGGCAGCATTTCCTCTATAATCCCTGCCACAGCATTCCAACCTTCACAATATGTCAATGCGGCCACAGCTCCCTTTATCAGAAGGGCTCTCCTAATCCCTTCTACTCAAGAGGTTTTAAGTATTATTGTTTATTATGGAGTAAAATATAAAATTTGACTTAAATTTAGTGAAAAAATCTGCATCTGAATAGGTGAATAGCTTGTAGTTCAATATTTGTTCCTACAACTAACTGTAACTTTGGGCATGTTGCCTTGTTAAATAGTTTCATTTTAACTGGATAAGCAAATCAATGACATAGTCAAATAAAATGATCTATTTTATTGGCTTGCTTATCTAGCTGTATTAAAGCCATTTTACCAAACAAAATGCCCATTTTAAGTGATCATTTGCTTGAAGTTTTTGGGTGTCGATGCCTATTCTACGACTAAGGATTGTAATATCAAAAGGTTTTATCAATACAGTGAAGTTCTGTATAACATGAGGCTCCATATTATAGGAAATCACATGCATGCAAGAAAGCAGACCCTGCATAGAAGCAGGACTTCAACGCTAGGAAGAAGACATTATTAAGTTATGAATTATCAGAAAATTTTATGGAAGTTTAAACCTAAGCCTAGAAGTTGAAGAAGAAAATGTATGTATACCGCTGGACAACAAAATTAGAATTTTGTATGAGTACTAGGTGCAATTTTTCTATCGCATTATACAAATTTATATTATAGGGAAGTGTATTGTACGGGAGTTCACTATACTGGTATTTTCATATAAAGTTTTTAATATCAGAATATCAGTATTGAAACAGGTATTTTGGATCATCATAGTGTGTAGCATAGATCTTCAGACACAAAATACAATGAAAGGTTATTTTGCATGCCCAGCCACTATTTTCAGCTGTTAGACAAGCCAATGTTGCAAACAAAAAATTATCATCACTTTTGGGAGAAAAATGGTCAGATCATTTGATTTTAGAAGTACAGTCATACCCTGACTTACGCAAACCCGGAGTTACGCGATTTTCAAATCTCGTCGATTCATCTTTTGTTTGAGCGCCACGCAACTCTTGATTATTCACTCCCCCCACACTATTGTCCAGCTTACGTGTTCGGACGTGTCGCATGGAATCGACGCATAGCTACAATTTATTTTGTGAAATTTATTTTTGTTTGTTATATCTATGGAGACTTGAGAGACTCTATGTGATGATTTCTTGTAACCATGAACGAACCAAATGGCGAGATAAGATTAACGAGAACATTTATTAGCTTACATACATCCTACTTGGATTTCACACAAAGGCATCTGCAATCGTGAACAATTGACGAAAAAAGTATACATTTATCAGATAATAAACAAAGACTCATTTTGTAAACAATTTACCTTTTGTATATACAACTGACAAGATTACCTTTCAAATTATAAACAGACTTGATCCCAAGCGGTCTTTTGATCGTTGGACATACAAAAGAAATGAACAGATGGTGCCTAACTTAAGCGCAGTTTACAATAACAAATACGATTAATCTTAACACTCTA